AGATGCACTTCCCAGCAATGACTCCAGATTTATTTCAGATGCACTTCCCAGCAGCCAGAGGCAAACAGAACAAACATTTGTCTGTCAATCTCTCACTTATACTAACTGAAAAGTACAAATAATACCTAAACAATTTGTTGTGATAATAATGGTGAAAACCCAGAGCCTTCCATATCTTAGGGCAATCCTGCTGACATGAGATCAGTTGTAGTCCCTCGTAAGACCCTGACGTATTCACAATACATTTTATACCGTATAAAAACTGAAAGAACTGCAGATGCTGTAAATCAGGAACAAAAACAAAGTTGCTGGAAAACCTCAGCAGGTCTGGCAGCATCTGTGAAGGCAAAATCAGAGTTAACGTTTCGGGTCCAGTGACTCTTCCTCAGAGGAAGCGTTCTGAGGACGGGTCACCGGACTCGAAACATTAACTCTGTTTTTTCCTTCACAGATGCTGCCAGACCTTCTGAGCTTTTCCAACAACTTTGTTTTTGTTCCACATTTTATACCGTGTTATTATTAATAATAAGCTTGTGCCCCTTGAGAGATGCTACAATATAACTGGGGATATATAGATAAATCTGACTGTGAGGACCTGTTGTGTGAACCTATGGATTAGTGATAATAAATGGATGACATCTTTCCAGGATGTAGTTGACTGCGATGCTTTCAGAGATTTTGTTACCGAACCCAGGCTGTTTTCAATTATCTTTTTTTGGGATTCGGAATATTGCTGAAAGATAAGTGCCCTTACATGGTGAGCCAAATGGGACAATGTCACAGTCTTTTTCCAAATGTGTCTTTTCTGACTTGTAGAAGCTAGCAGCGCAGCCCTCTCCAAAGTTTAAGATTTGACAAAGACATTTAATATTATTCTAACTCACTTTAACATTTATGCTTTTGACAGGAACAATCAGAAAGTCCATCTCATCTAAGTAATGAGGATAGTTCTGTCCACCTAGTCCTGCGACTACGGTAAGGAGGATTCAGCCTCAACTAAATCTTGTGGAAAGTTATTTGCACACACTAATCCTGACCATCATTTGAATGAAATAAGCTGTGCTGATAATAGAAGATCTGGTGACTGCTCACTTCAGATCAGTACAAGTATCATACATGCTTAGCTAAAGCCTCTCTGCCAACACGTCCAACGGAGCAGCTAAACAAGGCATCCTGAAAAGGAACTACTGATTTTAGTTACTGGGAGAGAGGCTGGAATGACAGTCACTGCCATGGAGAGAGATTGGTGACTGTGAAGGGCTAGACCACCCAGTCCTCTCAGAGGTGGTAGTGGGGAAATGTTCATCCAAGGTTGGGCAGCACTGATAGGAAATTGGGAAAAGGAGATCGAATGGGGGAGGGGCAGATTTTCATCACTCAGAGTTTTTAAACTCGGAAGGAAGTCCTCCATTAGTAAGAAATAATTTTATAACTGGAAAAGTTAATTGAGGTGCGGTGTCACAGTTTCTGTATTAACTGTTTTAATGTTTACACAGGAATTTACGAAGGGAGTTGAACGATATCAGATTTGAATTCACTCCAGGAAGGGGTAAGTTTGGATGATATCTATTAAATTATGATCTATCAGAGTGTTAGCCTTCCAAGACATTGATGTTTTAGTAGTTGGTTGTAAAATGGCAGAGACCAAACCCAAGTCACCCTTGTATTGCCTTGTTTAGAAATGGGACATGGGTCCATAAATCTAACTGGAAATGGGACAAGTAACCAAATAGTTGAGAGTAAAGGAGGGCACATGT